AAAGAGTGTTAAATAATGTATCATCTCCTTTTTTCTTTTCCTTTTTCACTAGTGGCCGCACAGAGTGATTAAATGGATGTTTAATTAGTCTTTGACTCTTTGATCTCTATAGTTTTATAAATTTTATTAATTTTTATAATTTAAAATGTTTTATTTTATTCTTTATGCATATCAATTTTATTTTCATATAATTATAAAAACTTTATTTTTTAGTCGTTATATAAATAGACTACAGGGATAAAAATGAACTTTTTTGTATAATAAAAATTGTATATATAAACTAAAATATAACATTTTAAATTATAAAAAAAAAGTAAAATTTATAAATTTACAGGGATGAAAAGCTAATTAAACTTGAAACGAGACACAAACCCTTCCCAAGCAGTATTCATAGTTAAGGTAATATAAACCATGGGTATTGGTCATCTCTCGGCTTCTTGTTCTAGTATTAATAGTTAAGGTATTTTGTCGGTGTGAATTTTTTAGGTTTAATTATTCATTTGGTATTGACAGTTATATTAATTTTTATTTTTTTGTCTTTATAATTAATTTTTCTTTTAATTTTTATAGTTTTATAGAACTTACATTTTAGTTCTTATATTATGAATAAGAGGAACTGAAAAGAAAAAGATAATATATGTGTAAAATTAAAATATAATATTTTTAACTATAAAAGATAAAGTTAGTTCATAGAATTATAAGATTAAAAGTACTAATTTTTTATATTATCGTCTAACGATAAGTCAGATACATCATTTAGAAAGCTATATTTCTTAGATAACGATTGTGAATTTGTGATTAGTAAATTTCTTCAATATTTTAAAATACATACTTCGATAATAAATAAAAGGTTTGATACTAATGCTAAATAAAAAAAATAGACCCAATTAACATTGTTTTTTTCCATACATATCCAATTTAACATAGTTAACTCTGCATAATGTAGAACAATTGGATAATAGTTAACTCTGCATAATGTAGGACAATTGAATAAAAGCAAAAGGTAGAAGCCGCCCAATAATTTTGGCTGGAATGCAAATGTTGTACTAGAGATTAGAGAATGACGTAATAAATGATTCATCCAAACTATGGGTTGATTAGTTAAGTTGGTCTTTCTCTCAAGTTGGGTATATGCTCTCTTCCCAAGCAGAGAAATGCTTAATTTTAGAATTTCATTGTCTATCTCACTTGTCAAAAAGATCAGATTAGGGTATATGAGAAAGGGTCCTTCAAGTCAGAATTGCAGTTCTAGAGATAATTTTCATATTTATTTAATTTCCACTTTCTACAAAAATTAAATAACTACAACTTTACAAAATTTGTCAATTGTGAACGTTTATTTAAAATCTATTTGTGAAATAATTAACTAGTAATTTTTACTAACGTGACACTCTTGATGTTGATTATATTATATTCATATGAATTTGACGCATGTTGGGATTCTATAATACAGTCTCTGAAATGACACGTGGCAAACAATTGCACATCAATTTATTAGTCATGTTAGCATTTAACATGAAGGGAGTTAGTTTACTTCATGAACTATTATAGTCTAAAATAAAATTGATTTATTTCTAAGAAAGATATAAAAAAAATGTTACATTTTAAACTTGGGAGAGCAAATTAAATTTGAACATTCTCATATTTTAAAAGACTAAAAATATATTTATGAAGAAAAGTGTAATAATAATATTTAATTTAATAATTTTATTTTGATTATGATCACCTAACTTTTTTTATTTGGTAAAAAAGATTATAATGATAAAAATGAATATTGAACCTAAATTTTCATGAACCTAAGTCTACCGTAGTCATCTGACATTCATATGCATATATTTAAAGTTGTTTAATATATATATATTATATTAAACATTCAATGTTTTATGCATAAAAAGATCAATTTTTCATATAAATATTTATAATAAAGGTATACTATTGCACTATATAATAGACTTGCTAAATGTAAAATATACAGTATATTAAATATAGTTTTTAATGACTGCTTTGAATTATATACAATAATTTATTGATTAGATAATTGACCCTAATTAAAATTATTTTATCATATTTATTAATTAATTAATATTTTAATTTATCTTGATCATGTTTAAATTATATATTTTTTAATTAAATTTGTATATTATTAACTTCTTTTTTTTTTTTCAAATATAAGAATGTTACAGTTGAATTTAAAAATTTAATCTAATAAAATGTTAATACTGTGTATAACAATTGTTCTGTTGTGTAAAAATTATAGCCTTTCATATTTTAAATATAACTAATATTTTAATATGTGTGATAGATAAAATAAAATAATATATTTCAAATTATAGAGATTAAATTTGAGAGATGAAAGAGATTAATAAAGTGAGTTAATTCATCCTGTGACCCTAATCCATTGTATATGACTATATGGCGCTATCATGCGGGAAAAAAATAAAAATTAATGGTGGTAGAATTGGTGGGGAATTTCATGATAGGGAAGGCCACAAATATCAGAGTTTGGCATATGTCTATTACTATTAATTAAGCTTAACACTTTGCCATCTAATTGCTCATCTATATGCTTGGGGACTCCGAAGTAATGTGGATTTTGAAAATGACGTGTGCAATAATATGATAGCATATAACATTTGTAATAATTATGTGAGAGACTCTAAATACTTACATAATCAAATGTGCATTTTGAAAATGATGTGTGCAATCAATTTGGATCAGTGTGACTGAGTTATATATGTAAAATATTCTAATTAAGATGAGGTATAATTTATCTATTCAGTGTTCCACGAAAAATCAAGGAAAGAAAAGAATATAATGAAAACAAGCATTACTAGGGACAAAAAGATTATTGCATGTCATTTTGATATATTTGACTATGGTTGCCTTGCCTTGTGGATGTAATTGGACTGTCTTGTTTATTATGCTTGCGTGTTACAATAAGATACGGCTAGAAGAACCTGTGGATGTAATACTCACGTTATAGTAGAATGAAACTTTTAAAAACTAAAGGTAAGATCATTTTTAATTAAAAATATAATTAATTCAATTATTTAAAACAATATAATTATGATATTTAAAATTCATAATAATTAAGTACGCTCTTATTTTCTTTATTTAGTCTTATATATTTTAACTTGGCGTTCAGACTAGGATAACATATATCTATAGTTATTCTTATTTAGTCTCAAGACTAATGAGCTCAAATTTGATCGGAAAGAAAAAGAAAAAAAAATAAATAAGCAAAGGTTTTTTATTTTGTAAACTAATATATTCTATCATTAAAAGTTAATGACTAGTTTATGAAGATAATGAAATATATTTAAAATTAATTAATAAATTATACATATGTGAGAGATCCAATTTTTGATCACCTATTTACAAAATAATTTTTTCTAACAACTATATTACACTTTGTTTTGCGTAAATAATTAGACTAGAAAATTTATCCTTTTCAATATATTTTAGTATTTTTTGCTATCATTCGGTTGAACCTAAAGTTAAAAGGCATACGATGACCCTTTAGTAAGGAAGATTGAAACACCATTTATTCCGCAGAACATATAAAATAGTAATTAAAAATTGAATAGAAAAGAATTTATAATTAATGGAAGTAACATATAGTTTAACAAAGAGGATATCACATTATATAAACTAAAAATAATAACTAAATTGAGGGTCAACTAAAATCAATAATAAGAAAACTATCAATTGTCTTAAATATAGCAAAATGGAAACAAATCATAACTAAGTTCCAATATCATATCATATCATGAACCTAAAGGTAAGGTTTAAACATTGTTGCTGACATCATCAACATGTTGAATCACACCTGCAATAACATTTGCATAAATAAATACAAGAAATGGAGAGAGAAAGGCATCTCATTTTACCTCACGACGTAAGACTAACAGTCAAACACACAACAATGCAATAAGGAAACTAGAACATAATGTACAACAACATAACATAGTATGACAATTTATCATATAATAACAAGGTACATCACATATGCTAATATAATATATTTCATCACAAGACATCAATAAATCACTACACAATTTCATTTCAATACACGTAATGCAATGGACACAAATTGCAAAATGTTCATGCATGTAACACTAGTAAAATCACATCGTGGTGGATTGTCGTAAAACAACACACAAAGTAGATCATGTTGGATCACACTTTCATCACACTCTACACTAGAAGGAGATACACCAGGGTTTCGTTGGAACAGTTGTGTCATGCTAGTTTTGCCTCATGCACACAAACAGGTGAGATTGGGACTTCCTAAACCCAATTGTCCTTAAGGACATAATAATTCCCAAACTTTAACAGAAGAGGGTCTTCCCTAGCAACGTATTCCGCATCATACCCATCCAAAAATAGTTATGCATATGATGCATGCCACATAAGACTCGATGCATTATCATATTATCACAACAAACATCCACAATTGAACATCCATTCCCTTCATTTCATAATCACATCTTGGTTAAGTCTCACTTAGACTTCTTATCATATGACCTTCATAGGGTCCACACACATCAATTGTCTCAATACTATAGTGCATCATTCAACTTATACATAACTCACGATTACATTGATAACATATTCATATACTAGAATTAATTATTAACGTTTAACAAAGGATCACACTTGTACAAATACATTAGAATTGAAACATAGAATCATAATATACAGGATAGTGCCTAGCGGCAACTACCTCGTGCTCGATGTGATGTACCCAAAGAACACATGTTACTCTCGGGATAGATCACACTCGACATGAACGAGTTCATGCTCAACGAAATCA